TTTATGGCTTGGACAGCCTCTGTGTTTGGTGTGCCTACCCAGTTGTCATGAACTGTCAGGCTTTGGAATGACTGCAGTATTTTTCCTGTGGGCATCGTCCCATCTACTTTAAATCTTCTGTTAAGTCCCTCTGTGATTGTATCTAGGAACATGAAATACACCTTGGCTCGGTAGAACTCTTCAACAGTTTGGAAAGTACGGCTGTCTTGAGCAGCTGTAGCACTATGCAGGTATCGTGCTGGCACTTTCCTTTTCCTTCCATGGCCAGGAGGTACTGTGGGAATGTTCATACCTGCATCTTCTGCCTTTTCAATGGCTTTCTGGAATATGGTTTTAAATTCCTCCTCAGACCTCAGATTCTTTACTGTGTCTAGCACACCATCAGTTACTGTGTAGGCAGTGGCGACATCCAGATCTTTTTGTTGCAGAGCATCAGAGGCAACTCCAGTTACCTGGAAGACTGTGGTGGTGATTTCTAAGCAAAGAAGGAATTCAACGTCGATAGCCCTCAGGTACATCGTTGCATCACCAGCAGCTGTGTCAGGTGGGTCTGACTCACTGATGTCTGTCAGAAGCTTGATTAAAGCTTTCAGAACTTTATTGAGGGCTTTCAGGGATCTTTCTCTGCAGGCCCACCGAGTGTCAGACAACTTCTGCAACTCAACAACATGCTGACCAGGATACAAGGACTGCTGGCATTTTAAAAATGCTGTATGCCTCTTTGTGGAGCTGGTGCAGAAAACATACAGTTTCTCCACCAAGGAGAAAAATGTCACAAAGTGAACACTGGACTTGGCACTCTGAACTAGTACCAGATTCAAGCAGTGTGCCTGGCAATGAACATAAAGAGCCTTTTCATTGTGTGCACGTATTTGGGACCGTAGACCTTTGTACATTCCACTCATGTTCGCAGCGCCATCATATCCTTGGCCCCTGATGTTCTTCAAGTCAAGTCCATTGTCTTGAAGGAGAGAGATGACAACATTCTCCAACTCTTTTCCTGTTGTGGACTCAAGAGTGCAGACCTGTAGAAAACACTCCTTTATTTCCATGTCACTTACATAGCGAACTACAAAGGATACCTGCTCTTTGTGAGAGACATCTGTGGTCTCATCCAGAAGGATGGAGAAGATTTGAGCTTCTTTAATTTCATTCTGTATTTTCCTCCTAATGAAGGTACCCAAGGACATTATTATGTCATTCTGGCTCCTGTTTGAGAGAAGGGACACTTGGGGTCTTTTCATGGAGGCTTGTTTTTCCTGGACGGCATCCAAATGCAGCTTCATTACACTATCATATTGGGCCAATGTTTTCACAAGTTCAATAAAGTTGCCTTGGTTGGCACTTGAGCTTGACTCATCATCTCCTCTAAAAGCTTGCCCCTGTCGTGCCAGATACAAGGAAATATCAATCAAACGTGTTATGATTTCCCTGTTTCTTTGTCTTTCTCTCTCTTGTGTTGCTTTCCCCTGAATATCCGATGTATCAAAAGCAGCTTGTAGAGCTTTTTTGGAGTATATGTTCCATCTCACCATGCTCATCATATGGGCCTCTGTGCTGGCATGCTCTTTAATTTTTCCAATGGC